CTTTCCTTTCCTTTCCTTTCCTTTCCTTTCCTTTCCTTTCCTTTCCTTTCCTTTCCTTTCCTTTCCTTTCCTTTCTCTTTCAAGGCAGGGTTTCTCTGTGTAGCCCTGGCTGTCCTGGAACTTGCTTTGTAAACCAGGCTGGCCTTGAACTCAAGGGTCCCCCTCTCCCTGCCTCCTGAAAGCTGGGATCAAAGGCGTGGGTGTGAGCCATCACACCCGGCTCAGGTTACAAGATATTTCGAATCTGCCATTACTTAGGGGAAAACAGCACAGTGCTCAAACCTATTCACTCCAGACCGTAGCATTCTTTTGTTACTGCTGCCCCTTTGCTTCCATTGCTATCTCTCTACCTCGGGGACTCTGGAGGTGCAGAACTCCTGGAGTTGTTTGCGATTCCAAACCCCATAAAGAGGTTCGAGCCACCTGCACCTAAATTGGCAACCTGCACACCCCTCCCCCCTTTTGGCCTGGGTGGGCTCCGGGCCCCTGGCAAGCACCCTGCAACAGGAGCCCTGGCCCTATGATCTGGAGCTGACAGGATGGAAGTATAGTTGTCATGCAGGATGAGCACAAACACGGTGGCATGGGCACAGATACAGAGGGCATTTCATGGTGTGCATGTCCTGTTCAGGCAGCTCCCAGACCCTGCATGGGGCCACGGGGGATGAAAAGCAGGCATGGGTTAGTGAGGACTCGTGTGCTGATGGTGGAATGTGCTTTGGTGAGAAAGACCACAGGGAACGGAAAGCATTTCATACCCATTATGGTTATGTGAGCAGTTCCTGGAAGGCAAAGAAGAGCCAGGTTGAAGGAATGACAGCATCAGACCCGGTAAAGCGAGGGGCATGTTACTAAGTGGACATGTGTTACATCTAAGGGACAGTCACACAGCCTCCGGATTCCACACAGAAGGGGCCGTCCCAGTCTCCTGCCTCCCCTTGAGGAGGAGGAAGTGGGGCTCTCTTGAGGGAAGGAAGGTGGTGAAAGATACTCGGGAGATCACAAACTTGAAGCCTTAATCACTCAGCGATAATGGAAAGGACTCCAAACTTTCTCCCCCAGCACACGGTCAGAAGGGCAGCTGACCGACATGTGTTCTCCGTTTAAACAACTTGCCCTGTCCTTTGTTGAAGCTTGCAGAGACGGCAGCCAGCTGTTGCTGCAGCTGCTGCCAGCTGTTAGAGCTGCCTTGAGTAGACCCGTCCCTGATCAAACGCAGGTGCGCCATACCCACCAACTAGACTGCACATGAAGACTCACGATCTAAAATATTAACCTCTAAGTTCTCAATTTCCCCTCCTCCCCCTAGATCATTTGAAAGGACTTATTTTGTCAATAGACGATATTTGTAAGATGTGGGTCTTGTTAGTTTCAACGTGTACTTGTATGCACAGCGTGCGTCTGCTTCAAGGGACTCTGAGGGCAGCCCGAGAGAATGGAGCCCGAGTTCATCACCAAAGACTTCACCTTCATCTTCAGACACGTCCAGGATTTCATCCACCGTCTCTGGGTAGCTCATCCGGTGTTTGTCGCTGACCAACTGAAAGGAGAAAGGGCAGGGTTTCGGACCCACCCTTTCTTCTGTCCAGCTACTGCCCCAAAGGAGCAGCCAGGAAAGGCTGAGAGAGATGTGCTGCCAAAGAGAGCCAGGCCCAGGAGGCAACTGATCTGGAAGCTGATGTCTGGAAGGTACCATAGGTAGGATAATGCCAGACCCCAGACGCCCCAGCGCTTCCCCACTTCCTAGGCCCCATCCAACTCTTTGGACACTAGATGGCAGTATGGCCCCACTTGTAGCTAGCCGCAGGGCTATCAGGGGGGAGGTGTTGGCTTCGGGCAGTAACCCTCAGGGCCCAGGTTGTGCTCAGGGGAGGGGCAGACATACCATTACACTGGTTTCATCAGTGACCACCTTGAGCACGTCGGTTACGGAGATATAGCCCAAACGTTTGGCTATTGCCAGAGGTGTGGTTCCGTTCTAGGACAAAGGTAGAGCAGAGAGGAGTCAGAGAGGAGAGTCTGCCTGCTGCACACAGACCAGCTTCCCCTGGATTCTTCAGAAGGGCCCAAGCGGACAGGGGCAGACTGCGTCTCGGAGCCAAGACGATCTGTGTACAAGTATGGGACAAGGCAAGACACGCTGTGAGCCTTCAGTGTTGGGTTTTGTCTTGACATGAGAATGGGGCAAAGCCCCCCACCCCGGGCCTGGGAGGAACCAGTAAGGAAGCCCCCACGAGCCAGTGCACAGCAGAACAACGCTGCCGACTTCTCCCAAGCCCTTTCTTCGGGTGTCAGTAACCACACGTTGTAACAGTTAACAGCAATCCTGAACTTTCTTAGCTAACTAATTAGAGCGGCCAGAATTGACAAGTTCCCCAGACAGGACAGGGACACACTTCACACTTTGATTTTAAGAGGCGGAGTTCAGTGAAAACTGCACGAGGGTTCGTTCTCTTTGAAGTTCTTCTCTGCTTGCAGAATGTGCCTGCGCTCCACCCGGCTACAGCCAGTCTGCACTTACACCCTCAGGACCACAGCTTTCCGAGTCGGGAACGGCCTTACAGATACCCCCACAAACCCCACAGCAAGGACAGGAAATTCATCCCGAACCACAACCACCAAGGCTGCTAGGGGTGTCTTGAGGTCCAAAGCCCTTAGCTTTGTCCACTTGTGCTGTACTGAAGGTAGCGTTAGACACACCAGAAGGTGTGCTGGCAGAAACAGTTACAAGCCAGAGGAGAGGAGGCTTGCTGTTGGGAAAGATACTCTACAGCCACCAAAAGAGAACCTTATTCCAGGCCTAAGCCTTGGAGGACACAAGGCGGATACATGGTGATGCACAGCTCTGTCCATACTCCAGGGTGTCCACAACCTATGAAGTTAGGGACATACGTTCCCCCCTCCCCACCTCTTAAATGAGACCAGGGGGGTACTCACCGAGCTGACGTCATTTGGAGAAGCACCATTCTTCAGGAGCAACGTTACAATGTCTGTGTGTCCTTGCTGAGCTGCCTGGTGCAAGGGGCTGTATCCTAGCTAAGGATTGAGGCAGACATATGGCAGGATCAGTTAACTGTTGGGGGGTGGGGGTGGGGGGGGAACAACATGCAAACTCCAGAGTCCATCTACTAACCCCACTCCCCACCCCGCCCACCCCATTTCCTTCTTTGGGTTCAAAGCTCGGGACTGAGACAGGGCCTGGAGTAAACGCTTAGGCGCCATCGGCCCGGGAGCCCGGTGTAAGGTACCCACGCACCTTGGTCTTGGCATTGACATCTGCCTGGTGCTGTAGCAAAAACTTGACCAGCTTGATGTTTCCGTAATGACTGGCCACGTGGAGTGGAGTGTAACCCATCTGGAAGGCGAGACAGGATTGTGGGTGGCAAGACACCATCGGAGCCACGCTCCAGTGGAATCCTTACAGAAGCAACTGCTCAAGGGAGGGGAGGAAGCCTCGGGGAGGGGGGAGGGGGGAGGGCTGCTACAGACATAGCTGAGCCATAGTTCCCATGCTGGTTAGAGGAGGGGTGGGATTTGGTGTCAGACAAGTGGAGGCTGCCGTGAACCTGGAAGAGAGGGCTAGGCAGAAAACTGCTAGCCTTGGAGATGAAGCAGAGAGAGGACAGTGTGGGGGCCAGTGTCTGTGCCAATGCTTAGAAAGGTACGGTGTGTGTGTGTGTGTGTGTGTGTGGCAGTGGGGGGTGAGGGGAACTAGAAACAGCCGCGCCAGCATCTGAGAAGCCTTCTTTTCAGGAGTGGGTAATGAGCTGGCCTGTGCTGAGAGGAACGCTGGAAGCACGGTCAGCCACGCTCTGTCCTGCTGATGGCACAACAGCAGACTCATTTCTTCCACTCCAGGGGGTGGAGCCTCGAGGTAAGCATTCAGATGCTGGCTGGGTTCTAGAGTTTATAGAAACTGACCTCGGTCTAAAGTGATGGGACATGGTTTCTCATGGGACTACGGGCTGTGGAGCTCGTTTCCAAAGCATCCGTCATAGTGATGTTCATTTGTTCATCTCTGACAGGGATGAACCCAGGTCTCCCCCACCTCCACGGTGCCCCACGTCCTCCATGTTCAACCCCTGCTCCACCTCCTACTTATTGCTTTGGTGTTATGCCCAAATGGCTGACCCTCAGGCCCTTTCTGGTCACACAGGTCCCTAGGGAGCCAGCTGAAGATTCCAGAGACCCTCTTAACGCAGACCCTATGGGTCAGACCTTTGTGTCATGGGGATGGCTTTGTAACCTATGAGGCAGCTCTGACCTGCAGAACAGGACGCTGAAAGACTGGACTAGGTCCAGAGCAGCCTGGGGATTTAAAGAGAGCTTTGTTGAAGCTGTGGGCAGTTCTTGGAGGGGCCTTCAGCACAGCCTCATGACTAGTGTCTCTCTGGAAGGGAGGTGAGTGTGTGCATGCTGCTGGTGATGTCACCCTGTTCTTTCTTCTGGGGTTTTCTTTGTCAGTACTGGAGACAGGGCCTTGCACATGCCTAGGCAAACTATCCTCAGGCCCTTTGTGCTTTCTTTCCACTTTTGTCTCAAAACAAAAGGAATCAGCATTCCTCTTCCATGCAGTTCCTTATTCCACCAGCTGGAGGTGCCCTGTTCGTCCTCTAACTCTAGACATCACATTTTGCAACTCCTTCCTGTCACCCCAGTCACCTCCGGCCCACACTGCAAATGCCCAGAGCGGCGTGCTGTGTGCCACACCCACTTATGCCACAATAGAGGGCTCTTTGCCACAAAGAGCTTGAGAGAAAGTCAAAGTCCATTCAACACAATCTGGGCATTAAAAAAAAAAAGTGCTGTATTTCCAAGCGACTCAGAGAGACCCAGGTATCCCTCACATGGACTACACAGGGAGACAGAACTTGACATCATGTGCAAACATCAGCTTCTTGTGACTAACTCAAAGGTCAGCACACTTAAAAAAAAAAAAATTCCCAAAGTGGCCATGAATGCTGGTTTTTCCAGACTCCTTACCAGTCTCAGGAAGAGGCGGGAAAGTGTTGATCCACAAGGTTTTTGTCTCCATGAAGGAGACAATTTCAAGGTGTGAGGGTGTGCCCCTGTGATGTTTTAAGGTGTACGAGGTTCTAGAGGGGTACATGTGGGTGGATGGTGGCGGATCATGCAGCTAAGGGAGGGAACCATCGCAGCCGCAGGCCTGGGGTTGCCCGCCTTACCCGGGTGGTGGAGTCCACTGTGACTCCATGTTTGATCAGCACGTCTGCCACTGGAACATGGCCTTCTTGTGCTACCAGGTGGAGAGGGGTGAGTCCACTCTAAAAAGAAACAGATGCATGTCAGCGTGGAGCCAGGGAAGAATCCTAGGCTACAGTGGGAGAGAGCTGTGGGGCTTGACATTCCCAAGCCTACGCAGCCCCAACTAGCTACACAGTTGGTCATTTGGCAAAAGGTTTCCTATCCTGGGCCTTCACGTCCTCACCTGAATGTCGGAAGTCCAACCTAGGGAAGGATCAGGCAGCTTTTTCTGTTCATAGCCAGACTGCTAATACATGAGCTGTCTTTGCCAATCCTGGTAATGAGCAGTTGTAACCAACGTGGAAACCACCAGGCATGGTTGAGTTCCAATAAAGCTTTATGACATAAGCCATGGCCAGGGGTTGTCCCACAGGCAATAAATTAGCTAAACGAAGGCTCTCAATTGTAGAAATTGTTATTTCCGGTAAGCCTCTGCACCTTATTTCTTATTCTAGAGGACACAGGTTAGCACGGGCTATTCCCTGGGCAGAGTGCGAGCATCGGAGAAAGCACTAACCACGTGGAATCACGCTGGGACCTCTGAAAGCATGTGCTACCTTTGCCCCCACAGCCAGAAGCACCGTACGGAGGGCTGGGCATACAAGGACCACAGTCTTAGACTTCTCATCGGTTTTCTCGCGAGGATAGCGATATGTCAAAGGTGACTGCTATGTGGGAATGTGTACAAATACTGCTAGGAAAGCCTGCTTCCCTTTATTCCCTGTGCTTTTTTTTTTTTTTTTTAACCTTACTGGTTTTTTGCTTGTATATTATTATGGCTTTCAATTTTGTGTTTTGTGTTTGTTTGGTTTGTTTTGTTTTTTCGTATGTGTATGTTAAGCATGTTTTTTTTTTCTTTTTTAATTCTTATTTGTTAGAGAGAGATATCGAGAGACAGAGAAAAAGGCATGGGTTTGGAAGGGTGGGATGGGGGAGGTGGGGAGGATCTGAAAGGGGATAAGGGAGTGGAAACCGATCAGAATATATTGCATAAAAAAGATTTAATTAAAAGAGAGAGAGAGAGAAAAAAAAAAAACAACTCCACAAGGCCTGGGGAAGCCAGTGCCTCCACGGGCTTTAGGGGAACTGAAATTTACCAGCAACATGCTTGGCTTCCTGAAATTCTTAGGCTAATTTATCATTTAAAGAAGTGGTTTCTGAGGGCTGGAGAGATGGCTCAGAGGTTAAGAACACTGGTTTCTCTTCCAGAGGTCCTGAATTCAATTCTCAGCAACCACAATGATGGCTCCCAACCATAGTTCTATAATGAGATCCGGTGCCCTCTTCTGGCATGCATGTGTACATGCAGACAGACCATTGTACACATAATAAATAAACACAATTCTTAAAAATAATTAAATATACAACTTTAAAAGAAGTGGTTGCTGGGAGCAGTGGCTCAGTCAGTAAGTGCTTCACGGCTTTTAGCATGTTGGGACTTGGGAACATCTCCGTAGTCAGTCATTTCCCCTTCCCTCTGAACTTTGGTCCCTAAAAACAACTAACCTATCTCTGTGACCTTGGGTGTCCTACACGTGTTTTGTGAGTGGACTCACACAAGATGGAGATAGGATTTGGGCTTGTGTGCAGGTGCACATGCACACACGAAAGTCTGGGGGGTCAGAGGCCAAACCCTCAGTCTTCAAGAGCTGTGTACTTGATCTTTGAGACAGGGTCTCTCACTGGACACAGCTCTCTGCTGGTCAGTGAGCCTCACCTTGTCTCTGTGATACCAGCAACGCTGGGACTACAAGCATGTGCCACCAGGCCTGGCATTTTTACATGAGAAGGGTGATAAGAACCAGAGGGGATGGATGACACCAAGGAAGACATATCTTCTACCACTGAAAGTAGATGACCAGTTCTGAATTACACACAGTACTCCTGTGTGTGGATGCTGGCCTATGCTGTGGCAAATATACTCCGGGTTTCTGTGATGTTCCTTCTTGTAGATCCTCTAAGGAGTATAGAAAGGCACTGTGACACGGAAGGGCTACAAAGGCTCAGGGTCTCACTGCCTTATGAGCCAGCTGTGGCAGGCTGTTATCAGCTTACACAGACAGGGCTGTTACCAGGATCCCACCCAGACATCTCGGGCAGAAGCGGAGCCCTGGTAAGTAGGTGCTTAGCACAGAAGCTGACACCCACCCTGAAGCTACAGGGTAAGCTCAGAGAGGCCCACCTTGTTCCCCAGGTTGCCGTTGGCTTGCTTCGACAGGAGGAGAGCGACCATTTCTGTGTGGCCCTCCTGAGCGGCCAAGTGAAGTGGGGTCACGCCTTGGACAGACTCTGCATTCGCTGACCCACCGTACTGCAGCAGACTGCGGGCCACCTCTATCTGGTTCTGCTTGGCAGCGATGTGCAAAGGGGTGTAGCCGTTCTGAAACAGAAGAAGGTATCTGAGCCCTGCGACCCGACAGCCGAGGTCACGGCAGGACGGCACGAGCGAGGGCTAGGCCTGGCTCACCCTCTGAGCAAGGCTGATGTCGTCAAGGAAAACGTGTTAAATGAACAAACAAACAGACCAACTACTGGATCTGGAGCTGGATCTGCAGGCTCCCAGAACTGGCAAACATCTGTACCCTTCTCCCCATCTGCTAGTACTTATCATCTTTCTCACATGAGCTACACAGGGCAGAAAGCATTGTCATCAAGCAAGATTCAGATTCCATCTTGAAGGTAAGGTGGGTAGGAATTAAAGTCTCCCGTCTCTGCCTCCTGGCAGCAAGGACCCAAAGCCCCCAATGTTTCATAAGGAAAGAAACAGGGAACCACGTACAGCAGCACACATCTGCAATCCCGGCATTCTGGAAACCGAGGCAGGACGAGCCTGAAGCCAACAACCAAAAAGAATGATTGGCTCTTGAGAAGCTAACATTCCTCTTACATACGCATGACTGTTCTTTTTGTTTCTTTTGCTTTTTTCAAAACAGGGTTTTGTTTTCTGTGTAGCCCTGGCTAGAACTCACTCTATAGACCAGGCTGGCCTCACACTCATAGATCCACCTTCCTCTGCCTCCCCCGTGCTGGGATTAAAGGTGTGCGCCACTGCTGGGCTCTACTGTTCTTTTCTCAATAACTTTCTAAAAGGAATCTTTCCTGATACGATTGGGTCTGCTGGCGGGGGAGATGTAGCTCTGGTCTACTCCACGCTAGCTGCAAACCAGGACAGCATTCCACTGCCTAGATTTCCTGGTATATTCTTAGATCATTAAAAGTAGGGGAAACGTCTGCCTTGTTTATTTCTGAAAAAAATTTCTGGGTGGATCGAGTGTAATTGTGTACTTGCAAGGAAAGTGCTTTCCAAAAGCAAGGCATGAGAACGGTGCCGCCCTGTATGGCGGCTTTGCATTTACTGTTGAGCAAGATAGGATGACAAACAGATGGTGAAACCTGTTAACTCTGTCAGCAGTAACAGGCTCTCGGTCTGTAGCTGGTCTACGCTGCAGCCCAGGCGGCCCCAAACTTGAGGCAGTTGTCCTGCTTCAGACTCTCAAGGGCTGCAAATACAGGCATTAACTAGCATATTCCCGGCTTCACGCTTTATTTATTTAGGTAGATTTAATAGCAAGCCAGTGGTTGGGTTCCCGGTGTGAGTATGCTCCTCATCCTGTTGCAGACAGGTGACAGGCTGGAGGTGGGTCAGTTGGTCACCGTGTTAGAAACCATTTCTATAATCTTACTGGAGCGTTCCCCCAGCCGTTCACAGTAAGGAGGGCAGGTATCTGCATCACTGTCCTAGCTTGTGGCGAAGCTACTCGCAGAGGTGACTGGCTTTACCCAATATTGTACAACGAACATTTGACGCTGTAGGTCCTGTTGGCTTCTTGAACTGTGGGTTCAAGCACTTGAGACCTTTTTCAGTGCAGAATTGCATCTAGAAGGTCCAGAAAGGGCCTGAGTGTCTGTGTTCCTAACCAGCTCCCCAAGGTAATGCTGAGGTTGCTGGTCCATGAACCGCTTCGGGTAGCCAAGCCCTGAGATATTCCGAGTGAAGCTGTGCCAAGCCAGAGGACTTCCAGGGCAGGACCCATGCCCTCCTGGGCCTATGCCCACCCAGCCTCCCCAGCAGACAGTTACCGCGTGCAGCTGTCTCCAGACACGCGCTTTACCACATTATGGGCCAGCGTCCCTCCAGTTGTCCCTGGATGTTTTATTGCTTGCCACCTCTACTGTCTTACTGAGAGTCCACCAACATTTCTAAATGAGGTGTCACAGTGAAACAGGAGCAAGGATTTTTTTTTTTTTTTTAATTTATGCCCAAGGCACAGTCACTGGAGAAATCTGCAGTGTGTTCTTGGATGTACCATCAGGAGTCCCAGGTCACTTGGGCTGCTTTGGGTATCAAACACACTGGCATGAACAAACCCTGGTTGGTCAGGGGCAAGCTTGCCCTGGAGGCGGCTAAATCTTTCAGGTCGTCTTAGGTTAAAATGGAAGGTATGAGTCACTGACCATCGTGGAGCATAGACCAACCTACCAGAGTATCCCCCAAACCGGGACTAAAGGAGTGATGACCTTTTGTGGGTGACAAGGAGAAATGGCGGCTACGTTGGAGAGTTAGGGAGAGGTCAGACAGGGATCTATGCCAATAAAGGGCTCCTTTCCCCCAAGGAAATAAGCACAGAGAGGGAGTGCACATGGGAGGGAGCCTGTCAGCATCAGACCGAGAAGGGGAGAGTTTGGTTTGGGTGCAAAGGGATTTGCTGTGAAATTCTACAAAATTGCCAGACTACTTTGGAAACTATTTTTTGCCATGGAAACAAACCCCATCTGTGCAGGCTTTGAGTTGCCTTTCGCTCTCTTTAAATATCATGAACCTGGCTCCAGCTCCTTTTATATAAGTAGGAATGAGGAGGAGGAGGAGGAGGAGGGGAGTCCGGCTTTTTATTTTTAGAAGCAGGAGTAAGTCAACATCTTAGCCGGCTGTGTGCTGCCTCTGCACACGGTGACGTAGGGCCCTAGGGCTCACTACCCCAGGAGGCAGGAGTAGGGGCGAAGCCCGAGGAGACAAGGGCTTCTTCCTGAGACACGCTGTGCCGGCAGCAGATAGATGTCGTGAGCTGCGGTGAGCATTGTACTGAGCAGGGAAAACAAACAGAGGCCACACACTGGGGCCCTCCCCACTGGCGAGCCCGGCAAGTGTCCGCTGAAGTGCACAGCGTCCCCCTGAGTGCTCCTTCCTCGGGCAGCACGGAGACCCCTGCTGCTGTGACGGAGCTCTGTCATAAATCTCTCTCAGGCTGCTCTGTCACAAGGCGGGGTGTCGCTTCTATGCTGGCCATGACTGTCTTTTCCTGGCCACTAGTCTCACAGCATCCTACCACCTCCCACAGATATAAACCCCACTTTGCCCTGGGGGTAGTCTGGTCCTCAAAAGGCTCCTCTGTCCTCTGGCTTTTTTTTTTTTTTTTACCCTCTTCCCTAGTCCCTTGAGGGTCCCGGAGTCCTACACTTGCGGCACATTTCAGAAGGCAGATGTGCAATCAGCTCGGAATATGCAGGCGTCAAAGCCCCCACCACAATGTCTGTATTCAAAAACAGAATGCATCAGGGCGACCCTCACATTCAGGCAAGACTCTTTGCTTCAGAGTCCGGAGAGCTCGTGGGAACCTGGGTAGCCCTCCAGGTGTGGCCACCCGCACCCAGCACCAGGACGCTTGGAAAGCACGGACAAATGAGACATCTCAGTGGGCCACAGCCTCGCTGAGTGAAATCTCTGAGAGCAGGGCTTGGGGCTGAAGGCTCTCAGGAATAGACCTTTGGCCATCCCTGCTTACACGATACAGCTGACACGTGGCTGCGGGGGTACTTGACTTGTGTGGTGTGGATTGTCCTTCGTGAAGGACCTTCTGACAGAAAAGCATCTCCCACTTCCCGCTGACAGTGAGCCCTCAGCTAGCAGCAGTGGTCCTGCGGGGGGTACCTGTGAAGGTGTGTTGCCCTGTCTGTGTTTCCAGAGTCAAACACAGAACCTCTGACGGTGCTTACGACCAGCGGTTCTCAGCCTATGGGTCGGGACCCCTTAGAGGGCCAACCGACTCTTTCACAGGGGTCGCATGGCAGACATCCTGCTCATCAGACAGTTACGTTACAGTTCATAAGAGTAGCAAAATTACAGCTATGAAGGAGCAATGAAAGTAAATTTATGGTTGGGGGTCACCACAGCATGAAGAACAGTACACGGCACACCATAATGCGCAGCGTGTAGTAAGGGGGTCACAGCACTAGGGAAGCCGCGAACCGCTGCTGTAGACGGAAGCTAGGGAAGAGGCCTTACCCAGGCAGGGCTGTGCGGGGAGCCACCTCGGGGAAGGAGAAGCTTGACGATGTCCAAGTTGTTGTGATGGACGGCCACGTGCAGAGGAGTCAAGCCGTTCTGCAGAGTGACGCATGCGGAGGGAGAGAAGCAAAGAAGAGAGCTCACCTCTGTGAGGAGCCATTTTAGACAACCAGCATCCACTTGTCAACCCAGGGCACTTCTTTCACAGGTAAGTACCCACCCAAAACTGGGCCAGGGGGTATGGTTCAGTGTAACGCACTTGGCCAAAATGTGCAAGCCCCGGGTTTCATTTCATCACAACGAAAGGGAAAATGAATCTCTTTTATTCAAGGCTAGGGATATAGCTCAATAGTAGAGAGTTTGCCTAGCATACGCTCTAGTGTATCATTAGTTCTGAGGGGAAGAAAATCTGCCTACAGCCAGCCTTGAAGGGGAGCTACTGAAAGACAGCGCCAACAGGATGTAGGACCATTCCTTCATCCCTGTGGGGGATGTGGGCCACGGAATCGTCACCCCTTTTCAGAGAAGGCTCCAGGTCCTTCTAACAGACCAGGCCTTTGTCAGGATTGCGTCTTCTAAGATCATTCTCAATGGAAGGCTGCCAGTGCAAGTGATTCCCAGTAGGGAATTCTGTCCCCTCTCACTTCCTCTAGCCCAAGAGGAGAGGAAAGTTCAAACTCACCTTTCCGGCTGCGTTGGGATGTGCGTCGCGTTCTAGCAGCAGCTCAGCCACTCGCACCTTCCCGTACTTTGCAGCTACGTGGAGAGGGGTAAATCCTTTCTGAGGAGAAACACAGGCCATTAGGACCATGGGTGCCAGCGCCGCTGCCCCAGTGGATGGCATGGTTAGGGCTCTTCCTACCCTCACCAGCATGGGAATGCCAACGGGACAGAGAGACCTGAGAATTTTGATCCCTGCAAGAGGCTACACGCCTCCCCAGTATCACCTCGTCTACTCGAATATGGAAAACCAAAGAAAAGCTGTCTCCAACATTGTCAAATGGTTGTTGACTCAAAAAAGACAGGAGCTGTGACTTTTCTTTGTTTTGTTATTATTCCTTTGGAGACAGTCTTAATATGTGGCCCAGGCTGGCCCTGAGCTCCAGATGCCCTTGCCTCATGCTCTGAAGTATTGGGGCCACAGGCATGTGCCAGTGTACCCATCAGAATCACATCTGGTTAGCCAGTTAGTTATGTTTTGCAGCTCTGGAGAGTGAACCTGGGCCTTGCACCTGCCAGGCAAGCACTCTTTACCAAGCAACTTCTCAGCCCTTGAGCCCTTTGAGTCTGCATATCAGGAATCTGTCTGATTGGACTACAGCAAATGCCTAGCAACTTAATTGTTCCAGGAGAAGCAGAAAGCCTGGGTTGGAGCAGAGACTGACCGCGCCCTTTCTGGGGAAGGAGATGACACAATGGGGTCCCACGACCACTAAAAAGGTTAGGTGGGAATCCCCTCAGAGCCCCAGGCCCAGCCTTTTGTTTCCTCAAACATTACATAGGGTTTGTTTCTGGTTCTGTGTTTCGAGATCCAGTCTTGCTATGTTGTCCAGCTTGGCCTTGAGCTCCCGGGCTCAAGCAATCCTCCCGTCCCAGCTTTCCAGGTGCTACGATCACAGGCAGGCCACCAGACCCTACGGGCCTATCGCTTTCTGGGAACCGGGGCAGTGGCTGTGCTGTACCTTGGTCATGCAAGCTTGGGATGCTTCCTTCTCCAGCAGGGCCAGGGCTGTGTCCACGTGGCCCTCACGGGCTGCGGTGTGCAGGGGCGTGTGGCCAGCAGTGGTAGCTAGGTTGGGGCTGGCACCGTTCTCCAGCAGGAGCTTCGCCATGCTTGTGTGGCCGATGCGAGCAGCACAGTGAAGCGGCGTCTGGTCATCCTGAACCCCCGGGGGTGAAAGCACAGAACTGGAAATGTTAACCTTCCCGAGTCTACCTCTGTATTTCTCTGAGTGCAAATGACTCGGGGATGAATAAAAAGAGCTAGGATTTCTTACAGTTCACCGGCTTCCTGGCTATTGCTACTTAATTGCCCAAAGGTGCGGCTTCCCCAATTGTAAGTGGGAATTGAAACAATGTTTCACAGGGCTAGGTTTCACATCAAGCAGGTGATGGACCCAAAGGGGTCACAATGTCCCCCGCAGAAAAGATACTGAGGAAACTGACTGCTATTCCAGCAAGCCCTGTCTCCCCGGCTTATGTTTGAACTCTCCTTTGGTGTTCTCTAGGCTAGGGGTCACGCAGCTCCAAATCAGCAAATGGAGGAAAGACAGCCATTTATCCTGCTCTTCTCCAACTGCCAACTACAGCTCATGGTCCAGGGCCTCCACGGATGAGCCATCTGTTACTGGCTCAGAGTAGCTCACAGGAGCCTGCCACTGACAGAGGCCTGGTTTTTGCCACGTGGCCTGCCAACTTGAAAACTTGGTAGCCGATCTTGTGGTTTATTTGCCATAAAATATGCAACAGGGGATCCTCCCACTTTTAGATCAGGAGATCCTGGCTGATTTTTGCTGATGACACCATCTTGCCAACTTCCTTTCTCCAGTCACACTTACTTGCTGGCCCAGCAAATGCTGCAGGCCAGCTCTGCTCCCTGGTCATTTGTTGCTCTGCAGAAACACCATTCGCATACAAAACTATGTCTGACCCTCGTGAACACCAACAGAGCAGAAGCTGAGCTTTCACTGTGATCTAAGTGGGAGTGGCCATGACTGCCAGCCCCTGACCCCTGATGAGAATGGCTTTCCTTCGTCAGGCTGGAGTGACCTGTGTCCAGGCCCCTCCCTTTCCTGCCTCCAGAACTCACCTTGGCCTTGGCATTAACTTTGGCTTTGCTCTGGAGCAGATATCTGGCCACTTCTGTATGCCCTGCCCGGGCTGCCATGTGCAATGGGGTCTCTACCTTCTGCAAAATAACGATTATAGAATTGTTATCGCATGCTGGGCTTGCAAAAGGATACACACTGAACTCAGATTGCCCCCTGGGCCAAGGAGGATTTTTGTCCAAGATCTGGAGCTGCCCAGCGAGTCTCTGTCTCTCTTCTCCTCTCTCAGTATTCTAGGTATATGTGAAAGTAACCTCAGAGCTCATGAATATTCAAATGTGTGAGTGTATTTCCAGATTGTACTTATAGAAGTTCCAAAATAAAAGTCCAAAGATGTACAGACGTGTGACAGATTTAACTGGGGGAGCATCCATAGAGAGGAATGTTCTCCCCGCGTGGTCCTGACATCTTTGCTATCCTGAGAATCCCATTTCCGTGGGTGAAGAAAAGCAGGGACCCCCTTCTACAGATCCCCTCAGAGCTGTGGACAGAGCCAAGAGCCCTCACTGTCCTCCAGAACTTACCACATTGGAGACATTGGGGGACGCTCCCCGTTGCAGTAAGTTCTTCACAATGGGAAGGTGACCCATGAAGGCAGCCACATGGAGAGGGGTCAGGCCAGACTGGAAGAGAAAGAGCGGAGTCTGCTGAGTGCGAGCCTTCCCCACAGAGAGGAGCAAGCCACAACGGCGTATGCTCTTCGGTTGCTGTGGCGCTCCAGGAATGGCTACCTGAGGAAATGGACTTGAACCAGGCGGGCTTGTTCTTAGGAAAATGGCCACAGGGATAACCACCTACGGCCAGGGTGTGTGTGTGTGGGGGTCCCCCGGGTGAAGCACACCTATGCTCTCTCCTACCTCCGTGACTGCGTCGATGGAGGCTCCTGTCTTCAGCAGCAGCTCCATGACACGGATGTGGTTCTTCTTACAGGCGATGTGCAAGGGGGTAAAACCATTCTGTAGTCCACACAAAGCATACAGGTCAGGAACTCAAGCAGTTGCCAAAGAACTGCCTTTTGACTTAGAGGTCTCAAGTGCCAACAGCCCCAAACCCAGGAAGCTTCAGTGGCCCCAGAGTCTGGTGTCTGCTCAGTGCAAGCGGGTGTGAAGTCATGACTGCTCTGTCTTTTGTCTCTGGAGGGTGCTTGCCCCTTCAGTTCTCCTCTGCGGATGAACAAGTGTGAGACAAACGTCCTGGACGTGTTCTGTGGACTATGAACCACCTGGTGGCCTCTGGCCTGGGGAGGAGAGTGAGGAGCAGAGCCATGGGAAGACTCTGGTCTGAACTCTCACCTCTCAGGGCTGGGACCACATCCCCTCTAACAGGAGAGGTGCTTAGCTCAAGCCAGCACGTCCTCACCCCAAAGCAGGTCGAAGGCCAGGCCTGCTTCTGAGATGCTACTGTCTGTCAGCTCTTAGTCTGACTGGGGCCCCTGAACACACATGCCTGCCGTACACACCACTTCCAGAGTCAGCTCTCCTGGGTACAAACCCACAGCGAACCTCAGCCTCTTGGTGAAGCTACAGTCACAAGTGCAGGAGGCCACAACCGGCTGGATATGGATTGCGGTATAAAAATTCACATGCCCGATGTGCGCCTGCTTGGGGTTTGTCCCTAGCAGCCCCCATGCAGCGCTGGCTTCCTGCTTCCCCCGCCCCAGCACCATCTCTCCCGCAGTAGCCAGGGCTCTGGAGTTCTCACCAGGGCTCTGGAGTTCGGCTTGGCCCCTTTATCCAAGAGAACCTTAGCCACCCTATGGTGGCCACAGTGGGCCGCCACGTGGAGAGGAGTCAGGTGGTCCAAGGTGATGTCATCTATCTCCGCATTGTATTGCAATAGAAGTCGGACACAGTCGAGATGGTCTCCCTGAGCCGCCATGTGAATTGGGGACAAGCCGTTCTGGAGGAAGAGGAATAAAGCAATGACAAAGCTTCCGGGGACAGAGCATCGGATTCAGGATGGTGAGGGCAATGCCATGTCCTGCTTGTCTACGTGGCTCTTCGGCGTGGATCCCAGACAATCTTGGCTCTGAAGAAAATGTTCTCCTCCTACCTCACTGAATCCTCAAGCCCTCCCAACCAGCCTCCCACCAGCCATGAAGACTTCCCTGAGCACCCTGACCGCCATGGAGTTCACTGGGCTTTGCTGGTTTATACTGTCCACTCAGTCTGACCTTATTTTCTCCTTTGCCAAATCATCTAATTTTCAGTTGCCACCTTTTTTTTTTTCCCTAAGATTTATTTACTTATTATGTAACAATGTTCTGTCATGTGCATGTGCGCCTGCAGGCCAGAAGAGGGCACCAGATCTCACTATAGATGGCTGTGAGCCACCATGTGATTGCTGGGAACTGAACTCAGGACCTCTGGAAGAGCAGCCAGTGCTCTTAACTCCTGAGCCATCTCTCCAGCCCCCGTCAGTTGCCATCTTGAGAGTGTCTTTTCTCCTAAGTCACTCTGCCTCACGTTTCTCAAATGCTCACAGGGCCCAAGAAATGCATGTAACGTGTGTGGTGAGTATTAATTGATGTGTCTTGAGTGGCTAAAGGACAACAAAACAGGCCTTCGGTCTCTTCAAACTTTTCCATTGAAAAGCATTCACTCTATTTACCGTGTATAGTTGTGGGGTGCTGGGTAGGCATCACTGTACCATCGTGGGTGTGTGGAAGTCAGAGGACAGCTGGCTGGAGGCTGTTCTCTCTTTCTACCAGGTGAGCTCTGGAGACTGAGCTCAGGTTGTAAGTCTTGGTGGCCAGCCTGGATACATTTTGTTTCATTTATTTTGTTTTGTTTTGTGTGATTGTGTGCATGAATGTGTGTGTGTGTGTGTGTGTGTGTGCCTGAGCATGCGTGTGAGCGCATACACATTTGTTATATCTGCATGTGTACATCCCTTTGCACGTGTGCGGAGGTCAGAGAAGCATGTCGGATGTCATGTCATTCTCTGCCTTAGTCCCTTGAGATGGGGTCTCTTACCAAACCTGGGCCTTCAGGTCTCCTGTCTCTGCACCCTACCACCCTAGGATTGCACTCAGCTTTTTACATGGCTAGTGAGACACAAAATCAGGTTCTCATGCTGTTCCTAACCACTGAGCCATCTTTTCCAGCCCTAGGAGAAATTCTGTCTCCCCCTCTCCTTTGGCCCTGACAGACCCACGTCTGTGGCTGTGAACGGGCCTGCTTTTGCCTTAGACACACTGTCTTAATCCATCCCCATTTGCCAACAGCTGCAGCATCTTCTGGAAGCCTTGTGTTTACACACTAGAACCTCGAGATGAGCCTTTTCTCTGGCTTCTATTGGAGGTTGACTGAAATGGTTTTATACATTCTTTTAAACTTCTCTCTTGTCTGTTCTAGGTTCTGAAGACTTCCTAAAGGCTTGGCTCTTGTCCTTTTAGGAGCTAGGGTAGAAGAAATAGGGACTGGATTAGAACAAAACCAGGCAGGTGCAGGCCAAATCCAGCTTGTCATTTGGGCTTGTAAATGTTTTTTAAAGGTTTTCTTTAATTTTCACTTTTGCGTATGTGTATGTGTGTGAGTATCTGTGTACGTGTGCACAAGTGTGTGCTGGCGCCCACAGAGGCCAGAGGAGGGCGCTGCATCTCCTGAAGCTGCAGTTTCAGGAGGTTATAATTCAGCTGGCGTGGGTGCTGGAAGCACCCTTGGTTCCTGTGCAAGAACAGCAAGTGTTCTTATGCGCGGAGCCACCTCTCCAGCCCATAAGTGAAATGTTTTGGAACACAGCTGCTTGTTTGCCCATGGATAGTGTTCTGCCCCGCTGGCAGAGTTTAATACGCAATTGTCTACAAAGTCAAAACATATTTGATTAACCCAGGGTCTTAGATAAAGGGTGCTGAGGGCTAATCACAAGATAAGCTAAGACAGGAAGCCTTGCCCTCCAGTATGGCAGGTCCTGCGACAGATGCCACAGGGACCATCACACTTAGACTCAGTGTCTCTCATTTCACGGAAGTGACTGATCCTGGGTCTGTGTGGTGACTCATTGCCAGTGTCAATGTGCCTGGATTTACAGTCCCTGGATTTATGGAAACACCACTGGTATATATAGAAGGTGTTTCTAGAAAGGTTTGATTGAGAAGTGAAGACCCATCCAAATATGAGGGGGGCATCACCCCATGCTCTGAGGCCCAGGACAAAAGGAGAGAGAGCTGATCATCTGTGTTTACCTCTCTGCTTCCCAACTGTGGATTTAAGGGGACCCTCTGTCTCATACCCCTGCCGCCACACCTTTCTCGCCATGATAGACATACATCCAGATCGTAAGCCCAACCAAACCCTTCCTTCCTGAGCTAGTCATATATTTTGTCCTAGCAAAATGAAAAGTAAACAGCACAGAAAAATCAGTACCAAGAAGCATTTGGTTTCTGGGATAAACCTGACATTTAACTGACAGGCCTCTGGAACTGGTTTGCAAGAGAAATGTGGTAGGTTTTGGGGCTTCAGGCTAGACAAGTCCTGGAATGCTATGAATAGGGCTTAATGAACCATGTTGGTGAGAGTTTGGAAGACCTGGATGCTGAGAAGAATGAATGCAGGTAGGATGGCCCAGCTCACAAGGTTTCACAGAGGAACAAACACCCTTTCACGTTACATTCTGCCAAAGAATATGACTTCTTTCTACTGTGTCTCAAGAACCTGGGAGAGGCCGAATGCAAAGTAAGGGACAAATTTGTTTTGGTGGAAGAAATATCAAAATAGGCTAGCATTCAGGCATGTCATGGTTATTGTTCACTGTCTTATGCTGGTCTAGAGCCAGAGAGAACAACAAGCAGAGGAGAAAGATACAAAAATGTGTAGTTTGGCAGGAAAAGAAACATGAGAGAGTTTAAAGTTATAGACAAGATAGTAGAGAAAAAGCAGATGTAACTGTTAAAGAAATTAACACTATTTTAAAAAGCCCTTCTTTGAAAGGCTCTACTGATCAGGGTACCAAAGCAGATGCTGAGACTCATAGCCAAACTTTGGGCAGAATTCAGGGAATCTTAGGGAAGAAAGGAGAGATAGAAAGACCTGGATGGACCAGGAGCTCCACAAGGAGAGCAACAGAACCAACAAATCTGGGCCCAGGGGGCCCTTGCAGAGACTGATACTCCAACCAAGGACCATGCATGGAGAGGACCTAGAACCCCTGCACAGATGTAGCCTATGGAAGCTCAGTTTCCTTGTGGGTTCTCTAGTAAGGGGAGCAGGGGCTTTCTCTGACATGAACTCAGTGGCTGGCTCTTTGATCACCTCCTCCTGGGGTGGGGGAGGGAACAGCCTTGCCAGGCCACAGAGGAAGACAATGCAGACAATCCTGATGAGACCTGATAGACTAGGGTCAGATAGAAGGGGAGGACATCCCCTATCAGTGGACTAGGGGAGGGGCATAGGGGGAGAAGAGGAAGGAAGGGAGGGAGGGGGCTACAGCCAGGACACAAAGTGAATAAATTGTAATAAATAATAATAAAAAATGCTAAAATAAAAAATTAAAAAGCCCTTCTTGCTCAGTTCTAAGACAATAGAAAGACACTGACAACTCCATCTTTGGAAAGGCAAATTCATTTGAAAGAAGAGAGTCTGGACATAGGATGCCACTGAGCAGGGGTTCCCTGCTCACAGCTTTCAAAGGATCAGCCCAGAAGGCACAATGAGGCCAGTGCAACTGTGCTCTGAGGTCCTAGGCTCTTACCCAGGCTGGCAGCAGGGCCTGGCAGTGTTGTCCAGTGTTAATTTTATAGACATAATAGATGCAAGACTGAGGGGGCTTTGGGGTCTTGTGCCACTTTGGGGTCTGGAGACTGCTTAGGCCAAACATCGTGAGGCAGGCTCAGGCCCTCGGCAAGGAGGCCCCAAGAAACCGTTGCATGAAATTGTAAAGATGAGGTATTAGTTGCAATGCAGGCGTCCTCTGAGGAAAGTCGCAGGCAACGAGCCTCAAGAGAGAGACCGCATGTGCTGTAGGCAGGGGAGCTGGAGGAGCAAGGACATGAAATCTCAACGTGGGCCCAGATGTTGGACACCGAGCTGTAGGATTTGACGTCTGCCTGCTGGGGTCTAGTCTGGCTTTAGTCTGACCTTTCCTTGCTTCTGGAAGGGGACGTTTGCTCTGTGCCGTGGCGTGGTGCAAGTGTGTATCCTGTCATGTCTGTTCAGGGATCGCAGTCAAGAGACCGTCTTGAGTCTCAGAAGAGAGCTGGGCCTTTACACTCTTTTTAAAAATGTCTTAGGAGCTGAAGAGGTGGCTTAGTGGTTAAGAGCATTTTGAAACCCAAGACCCACATGGTGGCTCACCACCGTTGGTAATTCTAGTCCCAGGGGCCCTGACCGCCTCTTCTGACCTCTGTGAGCACCGGACATGTACACGCCGCACAGACATACATGTAGGGAAAACATACGTACGCTTAAATAAAATAATAATTATTGAAAAATGAAAGACATTAAATCCTGTGAGGGCACATGCATGTGAGGTATAGAAGAACAAAAAGCTCTCCTAACTACTGAGCCATCTCTCCAGCTTAGGCCTCTGCACTCTGCATGGTGTTGGGACTATTAAAGACTGTGAGGATATCTAGCGATATCATTCACATCATGAGATGGAAATGAGACTTTGGGAGCGAAGACTTCCGTTAGCATCCCTGAGAGTGATGTGCTCGGGTGTCAGGCTGCTGGAGGGTGGAGCTGTGATGACTAATCTCCACTACTGTCAACCCATCTGGATTTGGAATCTTTACGGAAACAGACAGGTGTGTTTATGGGGGTGTTCTTCCAGAGAGGTTTAAATGAGAAGGGAAGACCCGCCCTGGAGGTGAGTGACGCCATCCCTTGGACTGGGACCCTAGACGGAATCAAAAGGAAAAAGCCACCTGAACACCAGAATTGTCTCTTTTTCCTGACTGAAGCTGTGACAATGTGACCTTCTACTTCTGTTGCCACGACTTTATCACCACGAAGGACCATGCTCCCTAAAACTGTGAGCCACAGTGAACCCTCCTTTCCTTAAATATCACACGTATAAGCTATTTTGTCGCAGCCAAGAGAAAAAAGGTCCAGCCCACTTGGAGTATGTCCTGCAAGATGGCATACCCAGGAAGGAGCACACACCTTGGTTTTGGCTTGGATGGGCGCCCCGTGGTCCAGCAGGATCTCTGAGATTCTCACGTGTCCATTCCGAGCTGCACAGTGGAGCGGTGTCAGTTCATCCTTCATGAGACCGTGAAAGACAGAAAGCCCAAAAGGCAGCCGTCAATGGCTGTGTGGCACAAGTCTGTCCACAGTATCAGTCCCAGGTTTGGAAATTCTGATACTGCCTTTGGGCCAGCTTGGCTTTGGCTCAGTTTTGACTGTCTCTTGCTGCGCCCAGCTGCTACTGCAGACCACCCAGTGAGGCAGGTGGCACTTCGCTCTTTGAAAGCCTGCCGCCCTGGGGAGACTCGAGGGCAGAGCTCACCCCCTGTGCTGGCCCCAAAGGCTGCCGGCACCTACCTTGGTCCTTGTTTCTATCTGAGCCCCTCGGTCCAGCAGGAGCCTCACCATAATCACGTTCCCCCTGCGGGAGGCAATGTGCAGAGGCGTGATGCCGTTCTGCAGAAGGAAACGGGCAGTCAGAACTCAGTGCTTCTGTGGAAGGTAGCAGCATGAAAACCAGTGACTCCGCAGCCCCTGCCCCCAGCCCTGTGACTGCAGCAGAACAGGCATCCCCTTTAGCTCTGGAAGCACATCTCATCTAAGGGAGGGTCAGGACCTGTGAGGACCCAATGGTACTGTGTGGTTAATCATACCAAGATGACCAAGTCCACATCCCCCAGTCATCTGCAATCATTCCCTGCCTCCTGTGTTCACCCAGAGAGCAGATACATGGAGTTCTGCATTTTCTCCAGACAAGAGCTGAGAGACAAAGTGATGGCCTAGCAGGACGTCTGATAGACACTGGGGCTCTGGCCTGCTAGGCATCTCTGGGGCATAACTGGACTCCAAGGTGCTGAAGAGAGTATGCGTGAGAGAGGCAGGGGTACCCCGACTCTAGACAGCCTAGACTCTGGACAGTGTGCATACCGTCCAGGGACGTTACCTGAGGTGTGAAGTTGACGCTGGCCCCCCGGTTGAGGAGCAGCTGGGCCACGTTGAGGTTCTCGTAGTGAGCTGCGATGTGGAGGGGCGTGAATCCCGTCTGGCAAAACAGATGGGGGGGGAACCACTTGTGACATAGCAGCACCTCTGTCCCAGAACCAGCATGGGGACACAGGGCCCGACACACAAAGCAGGCTTTGGCCAGTGGCAAAATCTGTGGAAGGCGTGGCGAGATGCTCTCTAGGCAAGCCGTGCTCAAAGGTTTAAGGCTGCCTCATAGTGGTTTCCAGTCTTTGCCTTGTGACCAAGCCAAACTATAAACTGAGATCACCTCTTGTGAAGAGATTTCAGTCATCAGTGAAGAGGGTTGTGGAGCCCGAGACAGCCAGCCCCCTAACAGGGTCTGGGACTCAGCTGGCTACCCAGAGGGTCCACTGCTTTCTCCCTGCTCCACATCCTTAGACACATCCAAACAAACCCCAGGGACAGGGATGTGGTCGAATAGGTGGACGGAGGAGGCAGTGTGAGCAAGACAAGCAATCTAGCTGACTGGGGGACAGCCAACAGCCTAACTGAATGAACAAACAGCCTTTGGTTAGTGACACTTAAAACATCAGAGAGCAGGGCACAGCCCCGAACATCTTCAGGAACCCCACTTTCTACCTTCCTGCTCTTCCACAGCTGGGCATGATGACTACCTCATCCAGCGAGGGCAGCAGAGAAGGAAGAGGGTGGCAATCCAGAGCCCCCTCTGAGGTGCAGTTTCAGGGGACTTAAGCACTCTCAGGGGACTTAAGGGTACCCACAGAGCCCCAGGCACTAAGGCACAGCTGGGCTCTGAAGCTGCCTCTAGCCCACAGTCCATCGGTGCCCCACCCCCACCTGCTTCCCCTGCTGTGCACCCTGGCTTCCTTCACCTTGGAAAGCACATCTGGGTTGGGGTCATTCTGCAGCAGGACTGCAGCTGTCCGAGTGTCATCATTCCGGGCTGCGATGTGCAGGGCGGGGAGGCGCACTTTTCCTTTCGTCCCGTAGTTGATGAGGTGAGCCACCACGTTCTCGTGACCCTGCTGTAGAGCCACAGCCAGCGGAGTGAAGCCATCCTGGTCAGCGCAGAACAAAGGTGGGAGTTCAAGGCTCTTTATATCCTCTACGCTCAGCTCAAGCGCCACCTCCTCCCTGAAGCCTTCCTTGCCTCATTTGCTTGCTCTGTGCTCCTATTATGACTGCGTTCGTTCCTCTTCTTGCACTTAGTTTTCCTACTGTATGCGTGCAGTCTGCCTGTGTGCCATGAGGGTCCGGCTGAGCGTGTCATGTTTGCAGTCTGCCTGTGTGCTATGAAGGTGTCTGACTGTGTGTACCAGGTGTTTGTTGTCTGACTATGTGCTAAGGAGGTCTGAATGTATGTCATCTGTTTGTAGTCTGACTGTGTGCCATCATCTACTTCATGTACCCAAGGCCCTTCCAGCACAGGGTACATTTCCCAAGGGGCTTACTTCTGTGGCCACATTCTGATTGGCTCCATTTTCCAGCAGAAATTTCACCACCTCTAAGTGATTCTCCTGGGCAGCCATGTACAGGGGAGTAAAGCCTTTCTGCAAACCCAAAGAAGAAGCCATTAAAACAGCGGAAGAGACAAGAAGATAGGTGCAAACCCTCTCGTGTGGACAGGCCTGGCTCTCTCTTCATTCCCTCATTTTGCCTCTGGAAAATTATCACCTAAGGCCAAGATAAGATGACTCCTTCTGGGTATTACCCCCTCACCTTCTGAGTGAGCCCCTAGCTCACACAGTCTCTTCTACTTAAAGAGTTATTTTGTTGTTAATTATGTGTACATGGGTATCTGTGATGTGATGTGGTGTGTGTGTGTGTGTGTGTGTGTGTGTGTGTGTGTGTGAAGTACGAAGCAGCCAATGCGTCTTCTATGGAGCAGAAAAGAACTGTGTATGTGAAGAAAGACTTTCTCTAGAGTAGGGGCCGGGAAGCCATCACCTGAGACTGGGCATTGACGTTGGCTCCATAGTTGACCAACTCTCGGACCACCTCATCCTGACCGGCGAGGGCAGCGATGTGCAGAGCAGTGTTCCCCTTCTGCAACACAGAGGCAAGGAGGAGAGGAGGTTCCCTCAGCCTGCTCAAGAGATTGTCACAGGCAGGAGGACCAAGGTCCTAGCTGGGAAGTCCAAGGCGGAAACATCTGTGTCTACAACCAGCCAGTCACACTGATCGTGAAAGACTAGTGAGAGCACAGGGAGCAACGTTCCTCTTCTTCTGACACATTACACCACACACACACACACACACACACACACACACACACACACACCAACTGCTAGGCTCAAGGAGGCCCCTGGATCTGTGGGGGAGTCACAGGACAGGGGTGGGGTCCTCTGTGTTCATGAAGAAGCAGAAGAGATGATTTAACTCTCTCTTTCACAAATCCCTGATTTCTCCATGTTTAAGGAGCCATAGCACCTACAGGAAGAGGGGGGGGGTCGGGCCAGCACTGTGTCTACTTAACCACCCTGGAGCTGAGCTCTAGTTTCTGGGTTGAAGAGGGAAGAGAGGGGCCAAGGAATCCATCTTACACTTTTCTATTCATGAGCTCAGCTAAGGAGCTGGGGCAGGTTTTGGTCTCCTGCTTTGTCTTTATTTTTAATCTTTCCTAATCCCGGGAGACCCATGACAATTTCAGAAAATAGCTGGAGTCTGCCATAGCCTAAGATTTGAGGCTCACCGTTCTTTTTACCCCCTCTTCCTCTATGGCATTCTAAAGGCACGCTGGCTTATAAATGTCTATAAATAAGATCTACCAAGTAAGTATTCATCACAAAATAAAAACCGAAGGCAAGGATTTGGAAAGAGTGGCATTTACTGAGCTCTGGGGAAAGGCCAGGGGAAGAGGCGCTGCAGGTTTGTGGCCAGGTACGTTAGAGGCCACTAATTGCTTCTTAGTCCCTGGGAAGAGCAGGTGACACCGTCGATTTGTGACAAGGGGCTGGGAGCAGGTGAAACCCCAAGGAGCAGCCCTGCTCACTGCACAGATGAGTGAGTGGGGAGTGATGTGAAAATTAGAGAACGTCACCCTGAGAAAGGATTCTTCCTTCACAATATTTTGGAAGCTCACCTCATACAAATTATATCTGTTCTCTCTATATCGTTCAGCTGCGTTTTCTGCCTGAGAGGTGGCAAAATGCTTGGGGCAGAGAGCTAAAATTGAGGCTGTGCTCAGGGCCCCATGTAACAAGCATCAGACACAAAATGAAAGGTTACGGCAACTCAGGCAAAGAGACAGCAGGGTGGGGAGAGGGAGCTGAGAAGAAGGGGGGAGCAGCATGAGATAGTAAAAGGAGATTCTTTTGATAAACAAGTTTCATGTTCATAAGAAGTAAGGTCGTTTTAGGGGTTGAGTGTTGGTCAGTGTTAGACCGTGCGTTTGCCGTGCATGAGGTCCAGGGTTCCCCTCCTAGCAATGCAAAATTCATAGCTTTTGCAATCTATACGAACTGATACTTCTATGCTAAACAGTTCCTGATAAAAGGCAGTGACACTTCAGGCAACCAGTCAGGGAGAAAATAGATTTTTGGGTGGACAAGAAGATTGGCTTAGAGAAGGACAAATCAGAAGGACAGGATTTTCTTCAGTGGCAACACCGTCACTATTTCTCATTTAATTCTTACACCAGGCACTTTATATACACAGCTCGGTTAATTTTCACACCAGCCCTGCAAATACGTGACATAACCCCTATTTACAGGCGAGAACACTGAGGCTTCCCGGTGACCAAGGAACTTGCCTTAAGGCCACAGAGCAGGAAGCATGTCAGCAGGGGCTCAACCCTGGAGCTCAAGAACTCCAGGGCCCTGTGGGAAGCAGTAAGAAGCCACCATAAGAAGGTCATGGTTTCAGAATCCAGTGGTAAGGCTAGAATAAAGGCCTGCTGACTATTTCTGGAAACAGGGTCCTGTGACTTCAGGTGTCCCCTGGGACTCAGAGAAACAGGATGTAATGAGCAGCTTCCTGGAAACCCAAGACTGTGTTTAGGCTGGTTTCCAAGCTGTGGTTTGAGGAGACACAGGAAGGCCCACAGACTGGAATTTCCAACGCCTCGTTCTTACCTTGGTTGTTGTTTCCAGAATGATCTCTTTGTGCAGCAGTTCCACCACCATCTTCACGTGGCCCTCCTTAGAGGCCAGGTGCAAGCCGTTCAACCCGTTCTGCGAGGAGAAGAGGTGGGGAGGTTTTGGTTAGTGGCGCTATCCACTCTGCCATCCTAAGGACTGGCTAAGGTGTGCAGAGGAGTGGAGGGCAGAAATGCAGGGTCCCTGGGTGGGTAGAGCTGCCACAGAGAGAGCCACCTGCCGAAGCATAGCTAGGGCAGGGGTAAGGAACACTGGGCCCAGCTTGCAAAGCATACATTAACTGAAGAGCTGCTTGTCAAATGAGGGGGTGCTTGGCAGGTCCCAGCCTTTTCTGCAGCTGCTCCTCTTGCTGGGGCAGGTCTGATGAGGGTCTGCTTCCCCTTTTCAGGCCTGTAGACAGAGATCTACCAACGCTGCTCTAGAAGGCTCCAAGTCCTGGCATGTGGGGCTTCTGGGATGCAGAGGTGGGGCTGTGGTCATGGCTACACTCTGCTTACCACCCGAGATGGTTCTGGTAGCATACCAGCAAGGATGTGGCTCATTTAGTGCTTGGCTTGGCAGCGCTGCCACCTACGTGGTGGGTACTGGTTGGTCCTGAAAGCCTCAGGCCTGCAGTGTGGACAAGCCTAAGAGGAAACCTCTAACAGTGACGATGCTCTGGGGTGACTTGTCCCTGCTTTTTGGGGCCGGGATACTGATCCATAAGGATGCTGGATTTCTGACCACAGAAAGCTGGAGGGAAGGTGCGTTAGAGGCTCTGTGATTCCACCTTTCATCCGAAGCCTAAGAAACCCAGCGTGGTTAAATCAACAAAGATACACAATTCTTCTACATCACAACCACATGAGAGCAAGCCTGGTTTTGGCTGCCCTCCTCCTAGGAGCTAGCTCTCCTCTTTTTAATCAGGTAAATAAAAGCATGGTTTACTTTTAATAACAGTCTGCTTGTGACCTCAGCGATTGATCTCCATGGTTCTACTCTCTGTCCTGGTCTTCAGGAGTCTCTCTTTCTTTCTTTCCTGGTCCGCAAGCCTTCCGGAAGCCCACTCCTGGCATACACAATGGTCTTTCTTCCAAGAGGATCAGTCTGAGTGGGTCTGAACCCCAAAGCGTGTCTCACCCTCCCTTCCAGATTCTGCTGCCACCATCTTTTCCTCCTTTATGACTTTGCCTTTCTGAGAATGGGTGCTCATACATGTATGCATGCTCATATATGTGTGGGGGCCTGAGGTTAAAGTTAGAAATCTTTCTTGATCATTCTTCAACCTTATTCTATGAGGTAGAGTCTCTCAGAGCTCATAGATCTCAGTAGCTTTGCTAGGCAGCTTGCTGCGGGATGTCCTCTCTCTGCCTTTTGAGACGGAGGCTGGAATGGCAAGCAGGCCACCATGCTTGAAGAGCAGCTGTGTGGGTTCTGATGATCTGAACTCAGGTCCTAATGCTTGAGTACCAACTGCTGAGCTATCTCCCCAGCCCTCATGCACTCTCTGTAAGTTAATTTTTACATCTATCACTCAGATGATCTGAATATAATGTTCTCTCTTAGAACCGAAACGAAACCCTATTAGGCACAGCCAACCAGTGCATGCAAGAAACTCTGGACTTAGTAGATGACAGAATGCACTGAGCACCTCTGGGGACACAGCTGTAGCTGCAGATGAGGCTGTGCCTGTAGCTGCAGTGCCACAGGTACTGCTGAGTATCTACCCAATCCCAAACCTTGGGAGAGCCAGCAGTGCCTGGCGGTGCCCTGGAGGTGATTAAGAGACAAACTTTCACTTAAAGGACTCACTGTGGCTGGGGTGATGCAGGAACAGATACATTGAAAACACCCTAAGTGTCCCTACAGGCACATAGGAAACCGTAGCAGGGAGGGGGAATGGGCTGCTCTTTAAGAAACGGTTCCACAGCCAGACATCCAGTTCATGTAACACTGGAGTGACAAGTTCATTTACAATGGCAAAATAAGGACGCCATATGTGCTTCTAAGTTCTAACCCCACATGCTGACACATCAGAAGCCACGCTTCCAACACTTCTCATCACGCATCCTTCTCCCTTCATGAGGAAGCTGGGTTCAACAGGTGAGCAAATGCTCCAAGCTTCAGAGGCAAAGCTCTCTCCAGCAGTGAGCCTCTGCGGGTGGATGGAGTTTTAGCTTCTGTAGCTAACCAACCAGCCCAGCAGCTAAGGCTGTGGGGCACCTGAGGACCAATGTTCCATCCTGTTTTCTGAGGAGACTCCACCTTACTAAACGCATGTCTAGTCTACAAGAGAGACTACTCTCAATAGCGAGAGAGTGCCCCATGGATAAATACCGAATTTAACACTTTCTTTTTCTTTCAGCAGATTTTTGGAATTGCTTAAGTGTGAAGAGGGAGGAGTACAAATTATGTGAACTATTTGTTCTTAGCTGTGAGTATGGACAGGGATGAACTGCAATTTACCACCTCTTCATCGCCAGGAACCATATGCTTTTTACTTTAGTTAAATCAGATGTGAGTTGGTTGCCAAAAGTAAGAGGCAGCCTCCTGGATCTCTCCTTATCACTTCAGCTCCTCATCCAACCTTCACAGTCACTTTCTCTTGAAGCCAAATGGCAGACGGGGTGTTGAGGGGATTAGGAGTGGGATAAGCTACATATTTCTTCTCTCAAGTAACAGTGTAGAAGATAAGCACAAATGAGTTCAAGAGACTTGAGACTAGAAGCTAAGCGAGACGCAGTAGCTGCTTGTTGCTCTTTCCGGTCGTGCTGTCCTGCAGGGTGCTAGCTAGCTTGTGCTCCTCTCCCCACAGACCCCTGGCACTAGACCCTTCCGTGTTAGACCACCTGAGATGCCCATGCTGTTAGTTGCTCCGCTGGGTTCTTTTCCTTCTGCTTTCTCTTGTTTTAACTTCGATATTCTCTACTGCTCTATTTTAAAGTTCTGACTCTCACCATGCCTTTGTCTGGCCTACTGACGACACTGTTGAAAAACTTTGTTCTGACTAAGAAGGTTTTTAATCGCTCTGTTGCATTAGGCTCTTCCTTGGGCTTCCCATCTTTACGCTGAAAATGTCCCATCTGTTCATAAATGTCATTCATTTCTTCATTGGCGGCTTTCACATTTCAATCTGGTTCTGAGTCTGATTCCGTTGACCGTTTTGTCTCTTGGTTATAGTTTGTGTTTTGTCTTATGTGGATGTTGCACTAATGATTCTTAATCGACTGCAGGTATCAGGTGTAAGAACAGGAGTCCTGGAAACACATTGCTTATGGCTGGAAACAGATTTGATTCATCTGTGGCATGGCTGGCGGACATCAGGAGCTGACCTGGAGTTGAGTCTCATCATGTCTGGTCTGTGAGCCTCCACACTCCTCTCAAAGGAGGCCGCAGTCATCGTGAGCTAATGGAGGGGTCAGGGTCCCAGAAGGGTTTCAGTGTTCTGGACCTCCCAGCTTCCATCTGCTCCAGGTACCTGTGCCTCAGATGGACCCACCTCTCTGCCCGTGCGTCCATCCCATTGGCAGCGTGTTCTTCCTGGTGACACAAACTAGAAGCGGTAGGCAAGCTCTCTTATGGTCAGGCTCCGTATGTCTGGACCTCAAGAGTAGGACACTTTTTTTTTCCATTCCCTCTCCCTTACTTTGCCTTGTCTGCACTGGGCTTGGATGGGTGTTCCTTGCATGACCGCAGATCTCTAGCAGAGCCAGAGATCTGATTGTTACTGGGGTATGAAACCTGGGCCTAGGACAGTCGCTGGCCTCCTCGGGCTACCAGGATATCCAGAGGCACTGACACAAACCAAGCGGGAGTGTCTCTGGTCCATCAGCAGAAGCAGTCTGTTTCTGCTCCTCCTCAAAAGGACAACATTCACGTGCATTCCAGAGTGTGTTAGCAGGTCTGCTGGTATCAAGAGAGGCATCGGGGTGCCTGAGGCACTATTCCTCTTCCATCCTCCACTAATCACCCATGGCCTCGGGAGCTTCTCTCTGGTTTCCAATATTTCCCATGAGCACTCAGTCAAGGCATGGAGTCAAAAATTCACCGCAGACCCCTTGACCTCTAAGATTTTTCAGGGTTTTGCCCTGCAGGGGGTCACTGCTTCTGCGTGCACACTACATGGTGATGGTTCGTGTGGGCCTCTCTGGATGGCAGCGTCTCTCTGCCATCCAGGCTGCCTGGTTGCTTCTACTCCCTTGGCTGCCAGCCAAGTTCGGGAAGATTTATAATTTCGCATATTATCTGTTTTGTTTTTGTACAATTAGGGTGACAGCAGCATCCTCTGAAGCTTCTATATCCCACACCCTCCCTATCGGAGCCTTCCAGACCCCTGGGCTTCATAAGCCGTCATGTCACAATGGCCTTAATGAAGAGATGGTCTCTTTGAGGGGCAAACATCTTCACACTACCATTCCTGACCAGCTCTTTTCTCATGCCTTTGCCCCCTTTTGGGTAAAAATGTCCATCTTAGAACATTCCTCGGAGAAGCATGTCTGGTGGAGGAAGGGAACCCTGTAAGCTATGCAGCTGCTCTCAGCGGATCTTAAGAAATTCTTGAGTCACATTCAGCCTGCACGACTTAACTCGGAGTATTTTCTTGTACCAACTGTGAGAGATTCCATTGGCAGAAACTGGATTCCAGACATTTGTTCTCGGTAAACTCTTCCTCTGTTTAGCTCCTCTGATTGCCCCAATTACACTAATTGATTTCCAAATGTACAAATACAGTTGACATGTCACCGGAAACTTAGCACGCATCCAGTCAGGAGCAGAAGGAAAGCTTCAGACAGTCAGCAGCTGGTACCCTGAGGTCCCCCAGCTCATGGGAAGTGGCAGGATACCTCAAGAGCTGGTACTGATGGTCTCAGAACACACACAGCCCTCAAGCTTCCTATTCATCCATTTCACCCTGTCCACGGAGCACACGGACCCAAACTGGGTCCTCTGACTAAGGGCTCACAGCCCCCACCCCCAGCCCACCCACCCAAAAGTATGTCTTTGTTGTGGTTACTGCTGTGGTGATGACCAAAAGCAACTTGGGGAGGGAAGGGTTTATTTGCCTTCTACTTCCACATCAGTGTTCATCATCAAAG